TCCTATGTGTGGCTGTTTTCCCTAATAAAATAAAAAGAAATCTGGAGATCTTTTCTGGTGGGGAACAGGTCTTAAAGAGATATAAAAGAATTAACAGCGTGTGTTGCCATAACAGAACCATTTCTTGGTCTCGAGTGGGCCTTTAAGGGCCTCTAATTTACATTAGTGCTCCTTCCATCCCATCAGGGCAGCTGGAGGGGTCGGGTGGAGGCGGGGAGCGGTCAGCCCAAGCGAGAGGGCTTTGGCAGAGCTATTTGTGCAGGAAGAATGAAGGTCAAGGGACTCCTTGTATTGAAGGCCTTTCTTGAAATGAAGGATTTGGCTTCCAAGATTAATGTTTGGAGTGAACCCCTGCTATACTTAATTCCCTTTTCTGTAAACTCAGTACATTTTTAAAATTCATCCAGGGGCCCTCCTATGGTGTGGCATGGAAACCACAAACCCAGCCGCCTGTCTAACAGAGTTCTGAATGGCCCTCCCTCATCCTTTGACCTGCGGGCTGATGACTGTGTTCTAGGGTCAGTTATTGGGCTAAATCCTGTGGACTAAAGATCCAGAGGGGATTTAATATAAAAAAATTTTAAAGGCTTCAATGGGTAGTTAGTGGTCACCGTAATATAAGGGAAAAGAGATGCTGTGGACACTACGGGGTTGGAAGGTCTCTGTGGGTCAAATTGCATGATCTAGATTAAAACAGGGTTTATTTTCTGAATGATTTGTGTTGGGGAAAAAATATCAGCAGTTTCAATAGAAAGTTAGAGTAAAGGTCATCCAGGCATAATTTTTCTATTTCAGGTAAAATTAAGAGAAATGAGGGGAAAGGTAGAAAATAAAACCTTTGAGAAGATACTATTATCCTTTATCACACTGTAAGATGGCACCTAAAGCATCCACTCTCACAAGAATAACGGAAGCTCTTATCCCCTAAAAAATCAATTGTCTACCATGACCTCACCACAACCACCACCACAAGGAATTGTTATGTGTATGGAGAAGGTGCTGCATTGTTCTGAGTTCTTCACATTTATTTGTTACATTCCTCATTTAGGCCTCGCATGCACCATTTCAGTAGATGTTCTTTGGTTAGAAAAATAACTAACATGTATTGAAAACTTAGTGTGTTGAGCATTGTGCTTTTATGCAGATCATCTTATTCAATCATCATGATGACCCTACAGTTAGGTATTGCCACTGGCAACAAACTCAGGCTTAGAAGTTAGGTGACTCGCCCATGACCCCACAACTGCCAGGACATAACCTTCAACCTGGCTGACGTCAAGCCCAAGCTCTTTACCTTGCTGCCCTTCTATTTGTCATAGAACTGGAAGCACACACCACAGGGTCAGCACACCTGACTTTCACAGGGCACAGATCTTTGATGGCTTTCTTTGTGGCTTTCCACGCCTCCCAGATGAGAAGTGTCCAGAAACTCTGGCCAGAATCTCCTGGCTGTCTCCTGACACCTATGAACTAAAGCAACCTTTTGGAACTCTTTGATTATGCTCCCTAACGGGGAATAGGAATAAAGTAATCACAGTTCTCCCTGGCTGGTGTGGCTCAGTGGATTGGGTGCCAGCCTGTGAACCAGAGGGTTGCCAGTACAATTCCCAGTCAGGGCACATGCCTGGGTTGCAGGCCAGGTTCCCAGGTGAGGGGTGCACGAGAGGCAACCACATATTGATGTTTCTCTCTCTCTCTCTCTTTCTCCCTCTCATACCCTCTCTCTAAAAATAAAATACATAAAACCTTTTGAAAAATAATAAAGTAATCACAGTTCTAGTAGTAGGGAATAGCAAAAACAGTCAAACAAAACAAAACCCTGACTCCCGGCGTCAACCCGAGTTCAGCAACTCGGAACAACTCTTCAGACCCTAGTTTCCTGATCTGAGCAATGGGGCAAAACCAATGGCTTGCACTTCACCCACACTCCCCTCAAATCACACGGTTGTGATGACCAGAGAAGACAACACTATCTCACTGGAAATGCTGTGTACACATGTGGTTAGCATTATATTGGGTTGCCTAAAATGTTTGTGTTTTTCCCGTAAGATGTCTCTCGTAGTGTTTCGTTGCCTTTAACTCCATTGGAAATAATTTTGTTAGATTGTATTGCGGCAGCTGTCATATCAGCACGTGTAAACCCCCCCATCGAAATTGGTGAATTTTGTAGCCATGTTAATATTGAAGATGAAAGAAAATGTGCAACCTTTTTGGCATACGATATGTTATTATTTCAAGAAAGGTAAAAATGCAACTAAAATGTAAAAAAAGATTTGTACAGTGTATGGAGAAGATGCTGTGACTGATCAAAAGTGTCAAAAGTGGTTTGGGAAGTTTTGTGCTCAAGATTTCTTGCTGGACAATGCTCCACAGTTAGGTAGACCCGTTGAAGTTGATAGCAATCAGATCAAGGCATTAATTGAGAACAGTCAACATTCTACCACACAGGAGATAGCTGACATACTCAAAATATTCAAATCAACAAAGTTATTGGTGCAAATGAAAAATGTGTTTTTCATTTTATGGAAAAAACCATACAAATTTTTTGGCCAGCCCAATGCTTTGGTTCTTTTACAAGGGTCTGAGGCTTGCCTTTGTTACTGGGGGTATCTTTGAATAATGTTATTTGATCTAAGATTTAAATATGGAAAAGAATTCTTTGTGAGCTGTGGAATAAGGTTTTTTCCCCCCAGGTATGAAAGGAAATACCATTGTGTGAATAACTTTGGTGTGCCAGGAATTGTGCTAAGATTTTATCTCTCATTTAACTCATATAGAAATCCAAAACAGTAGGTGTTATTATTTTATAATGAAGAAACTGAAGCTCAGAATAGTTAAGCAATTTGCTCAGCATCACGTTGCTAAGAGATAAAATCAAGATTCAAAGTCAAAATCTGTGAGAAACCATTCTCCATGTTTGCATTCACTCTAGCACATTACCTCATAGACAGGAGGGAAAGAAGGAAGCAGAAAGCCAAAGGAAGGGGTTTGCAGACCTAAAATGCCCCAGGAGCATGAGGTTTGCCTGGGAATTATTGTTATTATTAGTCATCAAGGATCTGCCACAAAGAAGTAATGAAAGCTCACTTTTTTTTTTGCTATAGCCTTCCACTTAAAAAATCTGTTTCATTTTTGCCATATTTCTGGGGAAAAGAGTGGGAAGTAGTTAGAAGCAAAAACTATACCCATTTAATAGGTGGCAGTGGGCAAAACTGAGAATGGAAGAAGCAGACGTTCCAGACAACATTTGAAAGTACCCAAGTCAGAACTTCCAGAAGGACTTGCTCCCTGGACCCGGGGGTCGTCCTCCCTGACTGCAGCTCTGGCTCATCTGGAGTCACAGGGCATCACACTCTCAAACTCACTTTATTATTTCTGGTCATTAGCCCCCAGGCTTTGGTCCAGCGCTTCCTAGGAAAAAGCTGTTCCCAGGTAGAAAATCTGTGAGACCTGAGAATGTCCCCTTTTGAGCCTTTTCACTCAGAGGGTCCCTGACAGTGAGAGGCTTTTTAAAGGCCACAATCCAGGTATTTCTGGAAAAGAGAAGAAAGGCTAATGTCGACCTGGCCTTTTTAGGTTGTGCCCAGGAGTGTCAACCCCTTGATATAATGACAGAACCTTGGGGTATTCTGACTCCTTGTTGGTAGTTCACCCTGGCTTGTAGTGGCAAGAAATGAATTTAAAATTCAGAAAATGTTTTATTGATCAGAGTTAAACCTTGCCGTTGGCAAAATAAAAATCAAAGGGACCAAAATGTTTCAGAATTCTTTGCTAGTTGTAAAAAATCATTTTCCCTGAAGGTGGCCAGTGCTGTTTTTCGATTTAACCAGCACTGTGAACTAGTCTCCACCCCACCATGAAATAAACCTTAAACTAATTGGACTCTGTGTCTCAATCTGCAAAAATGGTATAAAGCAGATCTTAGGACTGACTTGTAAGATCAGTTCAGATAAGGCGGGTGAAAGTGGTAAAGTGTGAAGGGCTTCATTAACGTAAAGGGATTTCTTCTTTAAAAGTGGAGCTAAGTGGAGGGAAAAGGGTGTTCTGTTGGCACTGACTACAGTTTAGTCTTCAATAAACACTTTCAATATTCATGAGGAGTTTAAAAAATCATTTTCCCCTATTTCACACTGTTTTCAAATGACAACCACCTGTGATTTGTTCAGCATCAGCTTCTAACTAAATCAGGTAGGGAACTCTCCCAGGGTCAGAGGCGGAAACCCAAATTAGGCTGAAGCACACATGAGGGTTGATGGCTTGGGTACAGTCTCCTTTCTACGAGTGAGCTCACGGAGTGTACAGGCTGATTTATCTCCGCGTGTCTTGTCAATCTTGCAACTTTTAAGTGAGATGAAAATCACTTTTATGTGATTCCCTATGTAAACTGTTAGCAAAAAAAAAAATCTCATGGTCGGACTCTTCCAGAAACTGAAGCTGGGAGAAAATTCAAAATAATTGCTGCTGGCCCTGGCCAGCGTGGCTTGGTTGCAGCCCCGTTCTGTAGCTGAAAGGGCAGTGGGTTGACATTCCCAGTCAGGGCACACACCCAGGTGGAGGCTCAACCCGGGCCGGCACATACAGTCACTGGTGCAGGCTCCTGCTGGAGGCAGCCGGGATGCTTCTCTCACCTGGACGTTCCTTTCTCTCTAAAAAGCAATGAACAAATGCCCTTGGGTGAGGATTAAAAAAAATTGCTGATGGACTTCTACTGATGAATCTAGATCCTACTTCTAACTCTGATCACATTCTCCTCTTTAGGAAAAAAAAGCCGTAATAATAATGACGACAACGATAATAATAAAACAATAACGACAACAGCTAACACTGTGTGTCAGGCACTTGTTCCGACCTCTTTGCACGTATTAACTATTTACCCATCAAAAAACCATGTTTTGGGCTAGACCTTTTAGTAAAGTAGCCCAAAGAGAAACAATACTTTTTCCCCCCCTCGGCTGAATGACACTGCAACCCGAAATCACAACTCCGTTTTAGGTTCCTGGTGGTGCCTGCTTCCTCTTCTAGTTTGTTTAGTCACAGAATTCGATTCCTGTTGGCCGATTACTCGCCTGCAAACAAGCTTAGCGCTCTATTGAAATGCGTGAGGCTCCTTAACTCTTGTGTAAACAGGTAATGCCAAGGGGTGGGGCACAGATTGCGGGCTTTTTTGGGACGGGGATGGGAAGTGGGGGTTAGAACCAACTCCGCAGAGATCAAGAGAGGTTAAGGGAGGGCTCGGCTGCTGTTTTTAAATTCAGCGTTGTTTTGTTCCCTTTCTAGAAACCAGCTGTAACTTTAGGGCAGAGCGCATTAAATTAAGCCACTTCTGAACAAGCAGCGCCCAGGCCCCAGGCCCTGCTGCGAAGGCCCCCGGCAAAGGTCAGGCTCCGTCCGCGTGACGCTTGTTCCTGCGCTGGTCCGAGCCGTGCTTGGCTTCAGGTAAGCGCACTCTGGGAGGTCCCCTCTTCCGGCAGGTCCGCCTCGGTGCTCGCTCTGATCCCAGCCGGTTAAACGACGTCTTTACGAGGGCCAAGACGGGGGTGGGGTGGTGCTGATCGGCTCGTGATTCAACGGCAGGTTCCTTATTCCTCAAACCTGTTTCTGCTTGGTTTCTCTGTACAGCCCAAAGGGGCCAGACGTCTGTTTCGCACAGATGTCCTCCGGTGGAGCAGGTGTCACTTCTGGGGTCATCATCTGGATGTCTGAAATGGGTGTGACTTTTTGAGCTGGGAGAGAAGCCTGTCCGGTGAAGTTCCCAAATCTCTCCGATCAAGGCAGATTTATTTTTTAACCTTCAGCAAAGGTATCTCGGCTCCTAAAACAACAGGAATGTTGCACTGGCCTTAAGCCAGCAGAGGCTCAGCGAGCAGGATAAAATTTCAGTGCAGATTTACGGGAAGTTGCCGGTGTTGAGAGTAAAAATCTGGTTTGGTGAGTTTAAGGGAAGGGAGTAGACGAGAGACAACCTTGCTACTGTGAGGCGAATGGCCTCGGCGGGGGAGGGCAGCGGGAGGAGGGAGGAGGGGACAGGGAAGAGCTCGGAGACCAGACGCGGAGCGCTCTCAGTGCGCAGCGCGGGGCGCAGCTGGGCTCCCGGGCGGCTGAGCTTCCGCGGGGTACGGACGGGGTGCCGTTCTGCCAGTGGGATCGCCGCGCTTTCAAGTTCTCGCTCCCGCCAGGAATTGAGCCCCTGAGAGCTGCCTTCTGGTTCTCGCTCCTGCTTCCCACTTTGGAATGTGCAGCTCGGGAAAGTGAGAAGCCGGGGCTCGGGCAGTAGTCCTCGTACTGAGTTTCTGCAGTTTGCAAAGTTAAAAAATTGTGCCAAACTGGAACTCCCAGAGCCTGGGAGTTAAGCCTGAAACGACCTGTTGCTTTAAGCGGCGCGGTGGGGAGTAGCTGGACACTCCTCATTTTGGTTTTACATTAAAAAGAGGGAGGCGGAGAAGATGTTGTAGGTTACTTGCTAGCCGTGCAAATTGCTACCGGGCTGTGAATGAATGGTGTTAATTTCTGAAGTGGGAGATTCCAAATACATAACAAAGGTAAGGTGGTTTTTGGTAATCCTTGTAACTACCGTCTGTCCCTTCTATCTTACATTTGGTCCCTATTTTGAAATTATTTCTTTTTCTCCTCTCTTTAGCCCTTACCAGCCCTCATACTACCACTTTCCTTTTGACTCTGGTATATTTAGAAGGGAGGAAATGGTTTAGAAAAGGATTTTTAAAGCGTCAGCTTCTGGAAAAGCAGAAAATCACACACAGTCATCCGCATCATGTTTCCTGTGGTGATGAAACGTTTTCTATACAAGAAACAAATTTTTTGTCGCCCTTGAAAACACACGATTGGGCCATCCAGAGGCACAGGTGACTTTGTAGACTTAGATTATTAAAGTGAGAGTGAGGAAACATGACAGCAGCCTCATTTAAATGTTAAGGATGGGTGGGAAGTGGGGGGGGGGTAGGATGTCTTCCTGTACTAATTCACCTCCAAAGGTAACAATGAGTGGAGGCCTAGTTGTTTCAGGTTAAAAGCCCAGTCTGTATGAAAGTGTACGCTGATGAATTATGACAGCTGACCAATCAGTAGCCGCCAGATATTTAAGAAACCAGTTACAATAAATGAAATGGAATCTTTCCAAATAAATTATTCCTTTTTTAATTAGGTAAAAGTTCATCTACTCTTGAGTACTGTCCCAAGGCATTTGGGGCTGTGACTTCTTTATTGAGGCTTGTCAAAGTGATAGAAAGATAGTGTTCTCAAGGTACTTCTTACAGGCCATACTGCTTTGAAGGGAAAAAAAATCAAGTAATTTTTTTGCTAGTGACATTTTAATAACTCACTCGGTTTTCTTTAGCACTAATGTAGATTAGAAATGTGTTCTTTAAAAGTTTTAACGGTGGGTTGCATGGATTTTTTCAGGGGAGAGAATGGAGAGGGTGGACAACACAGGCATGAAGAGGTTGGACGCAGTTCTAAGCACAGTTGCAACTAGACCAGGAGCGTTGGAGAATTTCAGGTGCTGATTCTAAAAGGTGAAAGGTTGTCAGCCGTATAAAACACCAGCTCTTAGACAAACTGAAGTACCCAGCCTAGGCAATGAGATAGCATTTTGTGGGAGATCGTGTCACTATTAATTTAAACAATAATTCTGTCCGGATTGATGACCTGAAATCTTGCAGGATGACAGAGCCAACCCAGTGTGAGAGAGAAAACAGGAGGAGGGAAAGAAATAAGTTTGGGGTTTTGTTTCCTGTCTTGTCTACCTCCCACCTCCACATTTCCAGTCCCTTCCCATTTTTCAGGACCAGGCAGGGGAATGAATGCAGGTGCTGGTGGGAGGAAGGGGATCTCTTCAAAAACAGACTGAGGTTCCAGTGAAACTGATGAGATTTTCCCAGAGAATGCATAATCCTAGAGGGGGAAAAAACAACTTACTCCGAAGAGGGCTTTAGTTTGGGATTCATGAGACTTAGGAAACGATACATTTTTCATGACTCTAGAAATGCGCACCAAACATTTATGAAGTTACGGTGGAGGTGTAATGCAGTTTAAAAAGTGGTGTCAGAATGATGCTAAATTAAAGGTTATATTGGAACTTTTCAACTGATGGCCTGACTAAGAGATACAGTTTTCCTCTTGGGAGCAGTTCCTGTGTCTTATGATGGTGTTGATTTTCTGGCTGAATTTTATAAGAGCTATGTGTTAGTCAAAACAACCACCTGCTCAGAGGAATTGCTTTAACGAGCAACTGCAAAAAGATTTTCAGCGACGGCAATGCAGGTGACTTGGTTTATGAGCTAGGGGGCCTTCATAATCTTGGAGAAGCACTATCATAGAAATAATATTAATTAATTGTTCAGGTACCACCTCATGTTTTTGGAAACTTCTCATACTGGAGGGATTTAGGGGGGAATGGCACTGCGCCACTTACTGTGCGTGGTCCTGAATCACCATGTCAGTAAAACACTCCTGAGGTCATCTGAGCTGGTTTTCTGACTGTTTCTGCTCCTGTCACTATCATAGCTGCTTCCCTTCCCAGTCTGTCAGCATCTGTGTGGGGGGAGAGGAGACAGACGGGAAGGTGTCTTTCCTTTGAAGTCAGTGTACCTCCCTCTTTTTAGAACCTCTTATATTTTGCCCGGAAAGGTGAGGGAGGAATTTTCCAGTGAAAGTAGAAGGGGAGTGTCTGGAGGAATAAATGGCCAAGAAGCAGGTGAGTTCCAAACACTGTTAGTAATGCAGAATTTACCGGAAAGCCCAAACGGGGATTAGCAATGTCCTTTCATGTTGAAGGCGAACTGTGGACTGAAGGAATTTAAGGCTCATCCCCCCACATTTTGAAGTTCAGATGCTCCTAGTGCACTGCAATAGGTTGCTAATTTGAATGAGTTTAAGATATCATCGCTGGGTACACCAAAAAGTAAACTGATTACAAAAGGCTCAAGCCCTTCAGCCTCACGCCCACTGCGTCTTTCCTCTACTTTCTGCAGTGATTCAAGGACAAGTGAAGCACTCAGCTCAGCTTCTGTAACCTACATGTATAATGAGAGTATGTTTTTTTGTTGTTGTGAATATTCAGCTTTCGTCATAAGAATTTAGTTCACACAAAAGGATTTGTGAAATGTGGTTAGATGAGTATGATTTATGTGTTTGTAAAATACAAAAGATAAGTAAACTGATAGTATAACAGAAGTCACTGACTATATTTTGTAGTTGCCCTTTCAGTAAACCCTATCAGGTTTTGAGATGGTCAGTTTAGAAATCAAAAGTACAATTGCATAACCCCTACCTTGCTGAAGGCCGTTTGAAAGAGATGAGATCAGGAAGAGCTAGCATCAGAACCCTGAAAACTCTGTGTGATTTTTGGGAAGATATTAATCCTTTGGTCTAATAGATTCCCAGGAGCACAAAATATATACTTTACTTATAAATTTTAGCCCTTCATATTAGTCAAGAAAACAGTCTACCATCTTCTCAAATCATGATGTGTCTTTGGCGATAGTCTGTGATTCTTACGAACGTGGCAGCCCAGTGCCAAGAGCACAGTCAGTGCCCAGTGAGTGTGTATATTGAATGAAAGGGGACTTGCTGGCGGTTTCAGCCTTCTGATTGCGCTTTGCTTAGATAATAGTCAGTCTTGCTAATGTGGAAGTTTCCACCAGCTGGGGAGAAAGACAGCCCGCTCCCAGGAGCCATGGGTAACCCACACTCGGGCGAGTGAGAGTTAACTACATGTACCAGTGGGCAGCGGTGGGTGCACAATGAATGCAGGGCATTGTGCCGGTGAAACAGGAACAGGACGCCTCTACCTGGCCAGGGAAATGCCAGCTGCAAAAATGATGACCAGAAGCATTCAGCTCTTAGAGCACTGAGACCCGACTTGATTATTCTTACAAAACATTTCACATCGTGCCGAGAAAAGAAAACATAAAGAAGTATTTCATGAAATGAAGATTTTTTTTCAGGTGTTCATTCTCTTAGATGAATTTGATTGCCAGTCTGAAAATGTATATTTGGGCCTTTGGAGTCCAGGTGAAATATCCATGTTTCTGAAATTAGGGATACTTATCCGTGAGAGCACTGTGACTTTTGCAAAGACTGCTTAAGTAATATTTCTTTTTGTTTGTTGTCATTTACTTTTTAAAATAATAACATGGTTTTTGGTACACCAAGCCCTTGCCGAGATTAGGCCCATCTTCTCAGTAGCTTCTTAAGACAAAGTTGCCTTTGTGTAACTGCGACCAGGAGGTTTTGGTGACACAGAAAGCTCAGTGGGGCGCTGCCGCTCGTTACTAACAGAGAATGCGGTGGCCTTGTGTGTGTGTGTGTGTGTGTGTGTGTGTGTTGTTTTCATCCTCTCCCAGCTGACGTCTGTGTCATACCTCTCCATGCACATGGTCTTACTGTTTTATGTGAGACTTGCCCAGGGAAGAGCGTGGTGGCTGTGGGTTCACCTTGGAGTTGAGAGCATGAAAGGCCAAAGCCGAGGTGCGGCCACAGAGGAGAGCTCCGCTCTGGGAGCTGGTTTGTTCTCACGGTAATCAGCAGAATTTGGTCACACGTGGAAACGAAGAAAAGGGGGTTAGCCAGAGGGAACGTGATGGTTTGGGGAAAGGGAGATGACCGCTGGCTCTAAATTCAAGCTGCATGGCAGAGTAGCTAAGAGCAGAGACAGCCTTGGATCCTGGCTTTGCCCGTATGTGCTGTGGGACTTTAGGCAGGTTACCTAACAACAAACAAACAAACAAACAAAATAACCTCCGTGACTCAGTTTCCCCAATCATAAACCACCTACCTGACAGGGTATTGTAAGAATTGGAATAATTAGGTAATCCTGAAAAAAATTTTTTGTTAGAGTATACTGGGCATGCACTGTTGTATTAAACAGTGTTTAATTGATCTATGGTACGAAGAGAGCTTAGAGCGGTGCTTACTTAGCACGTCATCAATGTGATGTGCTCACACAGCGTGTTTGAAAGCGTTGTCTGCGTTTGTGTCCTTAGCTCGCTGCCCTGCTCCATGTAAGAGTGGTCTTTCATGACCTCTTCTGCTGGTTGGAATCCAGGATTCTCTTCTAACATCGCTTCTTGGCTTTGACCACATGGCCACTGCCATTGTAGGCAGGCGCTGTTCTGCTGGTATTTACTTTTGTGTCATAGTTGTACGGAGAAAATGTTACTTAGAATCGCCAAGGTGCATTCCCCCGGTGCCCCCCTCAGTAAACTCTAAGACATTGTTCAGAAAGAAATGGAACGGTGCTGTAATCTATCAAGTAAGAAACTGCCCCATGTGTGTGGCTGCCGGCCATCTGAAAACGGCTGGTGCAGAGTAGACACGTTCTGTGTGAAAGGGCTTAATTCATCACGTGTAAGTTCCTATTATGTCTTTTACTGGTTAGTATTTACTAGTCATAATCATAATATACAGTATGGGACTTTTTCTGGCACCGTGCCTTACTTTGGTACATGTACTATTTTCCCTACCAGATAGAAAATAAGTTCCTTATAGGCAGGATTTGTGTCTGAGTGATACTTGCATCTCTCAGTGTCCCTAGTTTATGGTTGAGTGCTTATAAAATAATACAACAGTTTCTTCACCCAAATACATTACCATTGTACACATGTAACAGCATTTTTGCATTCCATGGATGTATGCTTTACATCACATGTATTTGAATGACTTGTAATGAACTCAGGCGGGAGTAGATGGGAACAGAAGCCCTGCCCACAGCCCATCTCTGCAGGCCTGGTGGATGTGGCAGGCCCAGGGTAGGGAGGGTCCACGTTGCACAGCAGGGGTCCCCAGCTGGTCTGTGGCCTGTTAGGAACCGGGCTGCTCAGCAGGAGGTGAGTAGCAGGCAAGTGAGGGAAGCTTCACCTCACTTGCTGTATGAACAGCAGCTCTCCACTGCCATGTTACTGCGTGAGCTCCACCTCCTGTCAAATCAGCGGTGGCATTAGATTCTCCTAGAAGTGTGAACCCTGCTGTGCACTGTGCACCACCAGTGATCTAGGTTGCAGGCTCCTTATGAGAATCCAGTGCCTGATGTTCTAAGTTGGAGCTGAGGTGGTGATGCCAGCACTGGGGAGTGGCTGCAAATGCAGGTGGGCATTAGCAGAGAGGTTTGACTGCACAGAGACCATAATAAAGCAATTGCTGGCAGGCTCGAGACCCTATCAGTGAGTGGCAAGTGACAGTTGAGCTGCATCTGGTGGCAGGCTATAAACCTATCCCCCCACCCAACCTGGTCTGTGGAAAAATTGTCTTCCATGAAGCCAGGCCATGGTGCCAATAAGGTTGGGGACCTCTGTCTTATAGTGCTATAGGTGCCTGTCATATTGTATAAAAGTTTATATGCACCTCTTTTTCTGTTCTTTACCATCTTTGAAAGGCTCAGAGTCGTTACTGGGTAACTATGAGAAGGGGGAAAATGCATTTTCTCAAAGTCAGAAGGAATTTGTTAGATAATTATAGACAAAAGTGCATATTTTCAAAATTAGGGAACATGAACAACCA